AGCCGGCACCCGGGGCCCCACGCCCATCTAGGGCTTGCTGGGCTCAGAGGCTGAAGCACTCAGTCAGACCCTGAGCCGGCACCCGGGGCCCCACGTCCATCTAGGGCTTGCTGGGCTGAGAGGCTGAAGCACTCAGTCAGACCCTGAGCCGCCTGTGTCTGTCAGAAACTACTCTCTGCTGGACAGGTACCTCTGTCACAGGAGGAATCCAGGCATCTGAAGGGAGGTTCCCAGTTCCTCCTCTTTACCCCAGCATGTCTGCTCCACTCACCCAGGGGTCACCTGGACACTCCTCTCCATGTCTCTTTTTCTCTTGACCCTATTGCAATCCACTTCCCCCAAATCCTGCACCATCGGTTACCACCCCACCAGCTGACCCTCTCCTCAGCCTGTGAACAGGCAGGTGCACCCTTAAAAACTTTCCCATCACCAGTCTGAGATACGATCTCTGTCTTCACGTGAAGCTTTCTAAAGGAGATTCTCACAGGTCACCTCACCAGCCCACCACCTGTTACTCCACGTTAATCTGCCTACCTCGTGACCTGTTGCTCCCCTAGAACTTTTCCCTCAGGTGTCACTGAGCACCTCGGGGATAGGCTGAACTGTCCCTGCCCAGCCCTGCTGCACCGCACCCCTCTGCACCATCAGGCAGTGCTGACCTTCCAGGCTCCTCCCCTGGGCCTCAGTGCCGAGACCCTTTCCCAGAACCCCTCTCACAACACCAAATTTATCTGGCCAATAAAAAAGGAATTACCCCAAGTTCTGACTGTCTCTGTTTTTCTCTAAATATACTTTCTCCTTTGGCAACAGTGTGATTTCACTTCTCTCCCCTAGAGTCAAAACTCCTATATTTTTACTGCCCAGCCAGTACCTACACTGGCATGTCCCGCAGGAACCTCAAACACAAACTACCCAGAGATGGGCCTTCCACCCTCCCTCCAGGGTTCCCACTGCTGTAACAGCACCTCACAATCAGACTCAGCACCCTAAGGGCATCTGTGATTTGCCCTTTCTCTAACATCCAAATATCAGGGGACACTGGACCCAGGAAGACACAACACTTTCTTTTCCCTGGGTCAGGTGTCACCAGCTCCCACACGAATGACAACACCAGCCTTCTCATTGGTTTTCTAACCTCTAGTTACCACTTTTGAAGACATTTGTCTTCTCGTTTTTTGGAGACAGAGACTCACTTTGTTGCTCAGTCTAGAGTGCTATGCCATCATTATATCTTACAGCAACCTCAAACTCCTGGGTTCTTGTGACCCTCCTGCCTCAGCCTCCCAAGTAGCTGGGACTATAGGGACCTGCCATGACATCTGGCTAATTTTTCTATTTTTAGTAGGCACATGGTCTCACTCTAGCTCAGGCTGGTCTCAAACTGCTGAGCTCAAGCAATCCACCTGCCTCAGCCTCCCAGAAGGCTAGGATTACAGGCGCGAGCAACCGCGCCCCGCACAAGACATTTGTGTTAGTATCAAATGTTTTCAAGAGCTCTAACCCCATGAAGAACAAAGTCCAAACTCCTTAGCCTGGAATTCAAGGCTCCTTGTAAGCACAACCTGATTTCCTACAAATCTCTTTACACACTTCATGGTGCAAGATAAATAAATGCATCCCTTATATGTGCTGTTAGAACGACCTCTGCCTTTAGCATCTTCTGCCCTTCACCTGCTATTCTCTTCCACATGAGATCTTACAACTTCTTCAATGTTTATCCCCAAGCTGCCTCTTCCCAAAGCCTCACCAATAGGCTCAGCAGGAAGTCAGCCCTCTTCCCAACAGCCACAGAATTGTTTCTCCATCTCTCTCTTTTTTTTGTTTTTTTTTAGAGACAGTCTCACTTTGTCGCCATTGGTAGAGTGATGAGGTGTCACAGCTCACAGCAACCTCCAGGTCTTGGGCTTAGGTGATTCTCTTGCCTCAGTCTCCCGAGTAGCTGGGACTACAGGCGCCCACCACAACACCTGGCTATTTTTTTGTTGCAGTTTGGCCGGGGCCAGGGCCGAGGCCCTACTCATTGAGTCACAGGCGCCACCCAGTCTCTGTCTCTCTTACAGCACAACTGATTTTCTAACTTGTTTAATACTTTGTGTAGGGCTTATTCCCAGACCAGTCCACAAACAGACTGTGTGAAAACACAAGACAGCAACAGCAGCTCATAGCTACTGGCCATGTGCTATGTGCCAAACTCTGCCCTAAAGTCCTAGGAAACCTCTCTACCCGTTCAGTGGAGACAGGAGGAAGCTGACTCAGAGAGAGGTTAACCTGCCCAAAGGGAGACAGTGAGAAGGGCAGGGCCAGCAACCAACCCAGTCTGGCTCCTAGGCTGCACTACCCTGCCCCCTAAATACAGAGCAGAATGTGCAGTGTGACCTTTCTGGTTTGAGTCTCAAAAAACATTTTATATCTGGGCATAACCGTAATCCCTTAGTAATATATAGAAAGAGAGACAGACAGGGTATCTTCAACAGTGGCTCCCTCTGCAGAGCAGGACTGAGGATCCAGGCAAAACAGACTCCAGTTTCCATTTCAAACCCTTTAATGGAATCTGCATGTTTAAATACCATATGTGTTTCTTTCCAAGTCAATGACTCCTTTGGAACCCTTCTCTTTTAAAGGTTCCTTCTTCTGTTTTCCCTTTAGCCACTTGTTGTTCAATGAACACCTGGAAAAGCCAAAGCTCAAGGGAAACAAGGTGCCGGCCAGTCCACCACGTCTCAAGGGAAACAAGGTGCCGGCCAGTCCACCACGTCTCCCAGCGCTGCTGACAGCACGGCAAGAAGGAGCACTTGAAATGTGTGATTTGTGGCTTGTGATGACACATAAACTTGTAAAAATACTCAAATGTTTAAAAAAAAAAAATTTGTAGAAAGGCTTACCTTTTAATTTCAAACTATTTTCCAGTGTTATAAAATTTTCATAGAAGATGAAATATATCTGAGAATAGTTGGCCTCAAAAAACTGCTTAAGATCACCCACATCCACATTATCTGAAAAGAACAACACAGAATCACACATCAGAATTCAGAAACCAACTTCACAGAAATGAAGGAAAGTAAAGTTAGTTGTATTCCCTTACATAAGACAAAACAAAACAGTATCCTCATTAGTTTATTCTCCACCCAGAAAAGCTCTGAAGTGCATCTGGGGCACCACCGTGGGGCCGATTCAAGGTCAGAGTGGACGGGGTACAGCACGTAAAGAGGAGACGGGTCTAGGGTCTAACAATATGACTTGTTAAGGAATAGGGACATGGGGGTTCATGGAAAAGGCACCTTTGACACAAGCCACGAAGAAAGAAGGGTTTGTCCCCCTGAAGAACAACTCTGCAGGTTCAGGTTCTCCATGGACCAATCTTCCCTCCCTCCCCACCAACATCAGTCTCTGGACATGAAAAGCCAGCTCAGTTGAACTGGCCATACTCTCCCCTAATTCCACCTGCCCCCTTCATCTGGGCCCACATATGTCACCTGCCCTCTAGCCTCTCGATGACCTGTCCCTCTTCCCTGTGTGCGCACTGTAGGGCCTGCCCTGTGCTCCTACAGTTGTCCCTATTTTACAAACTTTGCTGAAGCCAGGGACTGCAGATAGGCAGGCAGGTAGTAGAGCCCAGCCAGAACTGCCTTGAGGGCTGAGTAGCCAAGCAGACATCCATCTGGGTACATTTTCCTCAGCAAAAAAGGTTGTGTGTGCCATTGACAGGGTCCTGATCAAGGAGTGGACTTAATGTGGGAGAATTTATCAGTAACCTGAGGAAAATTAAAAATGGCTTCCTTAAAATTCCACAGGGAAGGCCAGGTGTGGTGGCTCGCACCTGTAATCCTAATAACTAACATATTTACCTGTGTAAAGAGCAGCTAAGAGTATCATTAACCCACATGGTTATGATCATGCTTATGACCTACACAGTTTTGCCAAGAATCTGCCAGTACCAAGGAAGAGTTTTGTGCGTTTTAACTCCAATGCAAACTGCCAGCCACTCTGCCACTAACGTGCCCTCTGCCCTAGGCATACTGCACTCAGCTCCCACACACTCACCACTCACCAGTCGGCTGTTACACCCCCACCCACCCTGTGCTTCCCCTGTCACAGAGTATGTCACACTGCACTTAATTCTCACAGAATCTCAACCGAATTTCTGGCTTAATTTGGACTGAATGATCTGACTTCTCTGTTAGATAGATCCCTAACTTCAGGGAGTCCACAGCCTATCTCATACACCATTGTATCCCCTGCAACTAACAATATCTAGCTCAATGTTATCTTTTTTTTTTTTTTTTTGAGACAGAGCCTCAAGCTGTCCCCCTGGG